TGTGGATCTCGGCGCGCTCTCTGATCGCTTCCAGGGCTGAGGTGAATCCCAGATCTCGGCGAATGTCGCTGTTGCGGACGAACCAAGGGGTCCCCGTCGCGCAACGGAGGGCGATATTCTCGACGGCTTGCACCCGGGCTAGGTGCGTCTTCGCTGCGTGTCCCCACGCGGTTCCAGCGTATGTCAGCTGTGGCTGCAGTACTGCTCTGATGAGGGTTAGCTTATTCCGCAGACAGAGACGGCTGTCCCTGCACAGAAGCGGATAAAGTTTCGCCCTCACCATCTTCGCTTTGCGCGTCACTACATCGACGTGCGGCTTCCACGTCAGCGTGCAATCCAGGGTTACCCCTAGGTACTTGACGGTGGTCGCCCACTGGATGTCTTCTCCGTTGAACTTTACATGTCCCTGGGGACGCGTTTGGTACATACGAGAAAACATAATAACTGTGCTTTTCTCCGGGTTGATCGCCACCTTCCACCTGTTGCACCAGTCCTCTAGTTGGCTTACAGCTCTTTGGAGGTACCTCTTCGCCATATCGGGATTCAGGGAACGGGCCGTTATGGTGGTGTCATCGGCGTAGAGGCACACGGTAGTGAGCTCTGTCCTGGGCATGTCGGATGTATAGATGTTGTACAGGTGCGGTGATAGCACGGCTCCTTGGGGGACGCCTGCTTCGACGTCTCGATAGGTGGATAGGGCCCCTTCCACCTTCGCACGCAGCTTCCTGCCTCTGAGGAAGGACTCCACCAGTTTGACCAGTCCGACAGGGTAGCCAAAGTCGAGCATCTTAGCCAGAAGCCCATCGTGCCAGACCCTGTCGAAGGCCTTGGCGACGTCCAGGAAGACTGCCGCGGTGGATTCTCGGTTGTTGAAACCTGCGGACAGATGTTCTACTAACCTGAGTATCTGTTGCTCCGTTGAGTGTCCGCTGCGGTAGGCGAATTGTTCGTCGGGGATGACTCGCAATTCGTCCGAGCTCTCACGCAGTCTGGTCAGGATGATCCTCTCCGCTACCTTGCTCATCATCGGCAGGAGACTGATGGGCCTGTAACTGGCAGCAAAGGTTAGATTCTTACCTGGTTTCGGGAAGAAGATGACGTCGGCTTTCTTCCACCTAGCGGGGAATCTTCGCAGTCTCAGGATGGCGTTGACGATGTTGAGCAGCGCCATCACTCCCTTGTGGGGGAGCTTTCTGAGTATTCGATTTCCGATCTGGTCGCATCCGGGTGCCTTGCGGGGGTTGAGGCGCCGCAGGATGTCCCTCACCTCCTCGGGTGTCGCCGGCCTAATGTCGTCCCTGTCGGGTTGGCGTCTGTAGCGCCGTACGCGTCGTTCCACCTCGTCGGCGTGGTCCTCGTCTTCGTCGTCGAGAAGGTTTTCCCTACACTGTAATTCAAGGCTGTCGGCGAATGCCTCGGCCTTTTCATACCTGGTGTAGACGATCCCGTTCTCTCCGTGAATGGGAGGCATAGGCTTCCGGGTGGTCCTCAGCGCCCGTTGCATCGTCCACAGGCTGCGGTCTTCGGGGTTTAGTGACTCCAGATGTCGTTGCCACGAGTCCTGGTAGTGCTCCTCTAGGGCCGCTTTTACCCTCCGGTTCAGCTGGTTTAACGTCTGCTTATCCCGGGGGTGTGCTGTCCTCGTGGCTCTTCTTTTCGCCGCACGTCTTTCCCTGATTAGGTCCTGCAACATAAGAGGTAACTCACCTGCATAGTTCGCTATCCTCCTCTCCGTCGTCTCCGTGGTGCTGGCTTCCAAGGCGGTGTGGATATCCGTCTCAAGGCTCGCGATGGCAGCCTCGAGGTCCGCCGCGTCGCGGATGACCGGAATGGGTGCGCATATTCGTTGCATTTCTGCGCGGAATAGGCCCCAGTCGGTCCGCCGCTTGGCAACGGTGTCCTCGCCGCGACGCTTGTCTCCTACGGTTAGGAGTAGGTTAGGAGGAGGTTAGGCATGTCTCGTCGCCCCCTCGTAGTGCGTCGCCAGATCGGCGTCCATCGGTATTGCCCTGAGCAAAGCGATATCCAACACGTCTGGTCTTCCAACTGCACCGTAGTACGTCGGTCCATCGGGTCCATACGCTGCAACGTCCTCGTAGTTCTGCAAGAATTGCAGAAGCACCCTGCCACGCATGGTGGTGGTCGTGATGTGCCATTCGGTCGATTTCGCGTTAAAGTCCCCGATGACTACGGTTTGGGACCACGTCTCCAAGACCGCGCGTAATTCGTGATCGGTGAGTGGGAGATGAGGGGGCTGATAACAGGTCACCACGGCGATGTCTCCGTACCTGCGAGTACGGATCGATACGGCGGCGGCTTCCATGTTTTCTAGCTGGGGAACCTGTAACGTATGGTGATCTATACCTCTTTTTACGAGCAGGGCCACGCCTCCTCCGTGTCTGTTCCGGTCCCTGCGATACACTAGGTAGCCAGGAATCCTAACAGTGTGTGCGTCCTCTACTTTGGTCTCTTGTATTGCCATCACGTCCACGTCTAGACGGGGCAAGAGCTCCTTGAGTTCGATTTTTCGTCCCCGGAATCCTTCGACATTCCAGGAGGCAATTCTGAGGGACTGCACACTAGTCGGAGGGTCCATTTACTCCTGTAACAGAGATGGCATTTTATTGAAAAAAGCCGATATCGCGGAGTACATCTCTCGCATTTGTGCCAGCATGCTGGCCACATTTGCGGGCTCCGTGCTCCTGTCGGTTTTAGGCCTCTCCTTAGGTGCCGCGGCGGGGCCCTGCTTCGGCCTGGCGGCGTCGGCGAAGCTTTTCGCCGCCGTCACCTTCGGGGGGTGTGCCAACTTAGCCTGTTGTTTGTCGGCTTGGGGGTCCTCTTTGCGCTGCTGCTTCTTGCTCCCTGTCGTCTTCTTAGGGAAGCTAGGGCATCCGCCGTAGCTGGCGGGATGTTCGCCTCTGCAGTTGGCGCACTTTGCCGAGGTCTCGCGCTTCTTAGTGCAGTCCGCCGAGTGGTGACCCTCGCCGCACTTCACACACTTGACAGCTGCGGTGCATCGGCTCTGCGCGTGACCGAAGCGCTGGCAGCGATGGCACTGCGTCGGCTCGGTTCTCGCCCTCTGCGGTTCCACCCTGACGACTAGGTGGCAGCATCTTGTCACCTTGAGCAGGTCCTCTGGCTCCTGGGGGACTTGTACAAGTACTAGAGACATGGGGGCCTTGTTCCTCCGGCTCTTCATTCTGAAAACAGATGTTATTTTGAAGCCCTGTACTTCGAGGTCAGACCGAATTTCCTCGTTGGAGATTCCGTCTGGTAGCCCTCTGATCACGGCCCTCAGCAGCCGCTCGCTTGGGAGAGAGAAGGTGTGAAATTCCTTCCCCTCATCGGCGAGGACACGCGTGAGGCGTCGATAATCATCAGGTGTTTGCGTGTGAATGGCGATGCCTTCACCCGTTAACCTGGCCCTGGTATAATTTATTTTCCTGTTTGTCAGACTCCTGCTGACCTCCGTCCACTGCTCCTTCTTGCGAAAAATGACAGACGGGATCCTTTCGGCTTTCTCGGCAGGGGCCGCGCGCTCTGATGTCGTCGCTGGTACGATCTCGGGGACCTTCACCTGTTCGAAGACAGGTGCTTCGTTCGCTTTTACTGGCTTCTTTTTAGCCTTGCAGGACTCCTCCTCGGAACCCGACGAGGTCCCTGGCTTACCTCGCTTTACCCCTTTTGGGGCCTGTTGTCCTTTGAGGGCGTTTAACAGCTCGGCGTGCTGTTCTCGAGACCTCTTTTCAAGGTCCTCGAACGCCTTCCTCTGTTGCCTTAGCTCATCTCTGAGGTCGTCTATCATTTGCCGTAGTCTGGCATTCTCTGCTGCCAGCTCACTCTCACGACTAGTTGTCGTCTCCACGACCGACCCGGGGGTGCTAGGCCTGCTGTCGCCGGCTTCGGTGCCACTCGAGCGGTCGCTCTCCATGGGGGTCGGAGATCTCGACATAGTGCCCTCCTCCCCGACACCCGAATCTGTAAAATAAATGCCGGCGGTCTCTCTGCCTAGGCTGAAATAACGTCGGTCGTTATATAATAAAGGCAGAATATTACTTGTATTGTAAAAGACAGGTTTTGTGGGGCTTCCACTTCACAGTTCCTCGCACTGACACTCACTGCTGCACTGCACAAACTACGTCCGCACAGTTCGGCTGTTCGCTTGGAACTTAGCTGCTCTAGATCCAAAAGCGCCCTGTGCTTTTATATGGTTAGGCGGACGGGAAGCTTCGCCCCAAAACCCTGTTTCGACCAATCCCGGGTCTGAATTTTCACCTCCATTGAACAAAACTATTTCGGCCTATTTTCAGCACGCATTTTGCGTAACGTCGTCGCGCTCGCGATAATGAATTTAAATTTTAATTTTAATCCGCGGATCACGGCACACGCGACCATGACACCATCCCCCTCCGGAGACGACTGGTTATCCCTAATCACCTAGGCGTCTTTTACAATGAATCCTAACAACTAAACATACATATTTACAAAGGTACATTACGATTTTTTAGGGGTACAACCCTACAATAGGAACCGCTAACAAAGATTTTGGGAACCGCTCCTCTTCTACGACGTCCTCCATTTCTATCGTCGCACCAACTCTTTCTTTCTGCCGCACTTCCGAACTAAGCGTCTGGCTAACGGGATCTCCTACTTCCATCACCACACTCGAACTCGTGTCTGTAACAAACGGGGCCAGATTTAATTTACGGAAAGAAGGATAAAAGGATACTTCCCTTGTCATGGTGGGTATCCAGACACCTCCTTCATTTCCTGTCCTTCTCCTCTCCATCCCAGATGCTGTCGACAGTGGCTCTTGCTGCAAATAGCACATCCTTGAAGTCCCCGGATGTGGTGACATAGGTCTCGCAGTATGAGAAGGTACGTCCGACTGACAACTTGCGTTCTCTCTTTCCGGGCTTAAACTTCTCTCTCTTCCTGGACTTCTCATAAAATTCTCGGAATCCGAATCGGGATATGCAAAACAATCCGATACCGTTCCGTCATCGGAAGCTTCCGATTGTTGGTCCTGTTCTATTGGTTCTGCTGTATTGAACCTCGTCTAGGTTCAACAAGGCATCATCTGGTGTTTCGTCTTCTTCGGGAATATGAAGTGGGTTTCTCTCGACTTCTCTGTCTTCTGGTCTATCCTTCCACGGTCTTAAATCATCTACATGAAGTAGAACTAGTGGTCCAGCTCGATCTACCTCATAGACATTTAGTCCACAAACTCTAACTATTCGGTACGGTCCACTCCATGGCAACCCCACTGGTATCTGCGTTCCTGGGTGGCATCGTACTAGTACTCGATCCCCTACTTGGAATTGTACTTTCGGTCTTGGATTCTCTGGATATAAGTTTCTAGTGAATATGATTTGTCTTCGTCGCACACGGTCTTCTTTCTCATTCTACCGGGTTTTACCTATCCGTTGACCTAGTTCCGGGTGTCCCCATTCTCCGGCTCCTAACAAAACTGTGCTAGGGCTCATTCCGGTAGCCGAATTCGTACGGTTTCGTAAAGTAAACAGAGCTTGATTAATCGCTGCATCCCATTGATTCTCTTCTCTCGGTTTACAATATAGTCGTAATAACTTCTTCAACTCTTGGTTTCTTCTCTCCACTGGATTACTTCTTTGATGATAAATTGGGAAGAAGTATTGGTTTATGAATTTTCCTTGTAAATATCTGGTCCACACCCCACTCTTGAATGTGGAACCATTATCGCTTATCACGCGTTCCGGGTACCCCCATTGTTGGCATATATTTTCCATGAAATCGATCAGGATACGAGGTCTCACTTTGGGCACAGGTAGAGCTTCTACCCATTTTGAACAAATATCAGTCAACACAATTAAAAATCTATTTTTCTTCTTTGTCTGAGAGTACGGCCCCATAATATCAACACTCACGACCTGCCATGGCCTTTGTGGAGGTCTAGGTTTTAATGGCGCCTTTTCTTGCCACGCCCCTCCTCTCTTTGAAGCTGCGCACAACAGACAGTACCGTTCGTGCGTCTTTACCTGTCGTCTCATCGACGGCCAATAATACAAAAGTCCAATGGAACGAATAGTTTCATCTCTCCCGGGATGCCCCGCATCCAAACTATCGTAGTATTAATTTATAACTCTCGGCCAAAATTCTAAAGGAACGACCAACTTATATGCGTCTCCTTCCTTATACCACACTAAGTCATCTTTTACTTCATAATTTTCCATCAGGGTTTGTTTCCAGGGCACATCCGCTGGTTCTTTCCCTTGCTGTAATCGTCGTATCCGAATCTTTGTAGCCGCATATTCCGGACTGTCCTTTTGGGCTCTCACAATAACTTTATATAAAGGTAAATTTTGGTCATCAATTTGATTTATTGTTATCGGTTGTACGAATGTCGGTGGGATCCGTAGTGTATTTTCTCTAGCTTCTTCGATACTTCTCACCATCTGTAATGCTAACTGATCGTTTATTTCTATTTCAGGTACTGGGGGGACTTAACTGCTCCTCCTCCAATGGCTCCAGGACCTCCTCTTCAGGATTCCGGCTTAAGAAATCAGGTAAGTAATTTGACTTCCCCGGACAATGTTCTACTGCAAACATGAATTCTTATAAGTACAACGCGTATCGGGTCAATTTTGCCTTGTCTTCTCTATACTTTTGTAACCATAATAGGGCTCTGCTATCAGTCCGTAGGGTGAATTCCCGTCCATCCAGTAAGGGTCTATATTTCCGGCAGGCCACACCACTGCTAGAACTTCCTGTTCATTACAGTGGTAGCGGGTCTCGGCTGGGGAAAACTTCGCGCTTGCACATGAAATAATCAGTTTTTCCTTATTCTCCCCTTCTTGAAATACCACCGCCCCCATACCAATCGAGCTGGCGACCGTTTGTACTATATATCGCTTATTTGGGTCTGGTCGGTGTAAACGCAGGGGTTAGCACAATATCAATTTCAAATTTTGGAAAGCTTCTTCGGTCTCTTGATTCCAGAAAAATTTTCTCTTTCCCAGTAACTTTGTTAACGGACTGGATATTTCAGAAAAATGAGGAACGTATTCCCTCAGCCAGTTCGCCACTCCTAGGAACCTCTGTACATCTTTTTGGAATTTCGGGCTTTCAAAACTTTGTATCTTCCGAATGTGTTTTTCCTGAGTTTCTTTATGGGATGTGGTAATCTTAAACCTTAAATGTTTTTCATGTAACTCTCTGTTAACGAAATATATAATAATATCGTCCAGGTATACCTGGACGGAATCGTTCACGTAACCAGCCAATACCTCTAACATTAATTTCTGAAACGTGGCCGGCGCGTTTTTAAGCGCAAATGGCATAACTAAAAATTCATACGCTGCGCCGTCCGATGTGTGAAACGCTGTCAAATGAATACTATATCTGGCCATGGGCACTTGCCAGTATCCACTTCTTAGGTCGAGGGAAGTGAATACTGTAGCGTCCCCTATGTCTTTCAAAATTTCTCCAATAGGCGGCAACACGGCGACGTCGTCTTCAGTAATCGAATTAAGTTGGCGATAGTCCACGCAAAATCGTGTAGCTCTATCTGCTTTTTCCACAAGAACGATTGGTGAGCTATACGATGAACAACTCCGCCGTATTACTCCTGCTCTCAACATTTGAGTTACTTCCTGATCGATAATTTGCTTTTTCAACGGAGAAAATTTATATCTACGAATTCTAAAAACCCTATCTTCTTTCAGTTTTATCTGGTGTTCTACTAACTCAGTACACGACTGAGTCACCTCTTCTTGGAACACCTCTGGGAAATCGTTTACTATACGTTCATAACAAGGTATCCACATATCCGGTCAAGTTCCTTCCTCGAACTTTACGGGATTATACATTTTCGGATTTCGCCCTTGCAATACCCAATACGCAGCTCGTCTTTTCTCTTTTCCAAAATAGATAGCTCCTTGTGTGTAATCAATCGTAGCTTCTTCTCTTTTCAGTCAATCGATGCCCAGTATTAATACCTCTTTCAAACCTTCCATCAAATAGACTTGTATTCTAGTTGTACTTTCCCCGATACATACATCCAATTCCACCGGCCCATCCACCCAGGTCTCCTTTCCATCAGCCAACCACACACGTTTTTTCTCCTTTGTGCAATTTCCCCGGTAATAATCCGGTCTTAAAAAGGAATTCGTGGCCCCTGTATCAATAAGTGCTACCACGACTTGTCCATTACAACTGGTTAATATCCTTGGTAAGTCCGCCTGATAAGTATTCTGTATGGAGTCCGCCGTTATACTTCCACTATTGACTCCCAAATAGTGGAAGCTCCCTAATTTTCCTGATTTGCCTGATTGTTCCGGGACTCTTTGTCCAGGACCATCTCGGTCTGACTCATCTCGATTCGACTCTTGGCTGGTTCTCTCATCTCGTCTAATTTGTCTTCGATCTTGCGGGTTAGAATATGTCAAAGCCCTCCTAGGACAATCGCGAGCGTAATGGTTCCCTCCGCATTGGAAACACGACACTTCCATCGGCCTCGGTTTTTCTACCGGTACTAACTCCCTACTCGTTGACTGCTCTCTACTACCTCTTTCTCCTTGTATACTTTTCATTTGAATCTCCACCTCGCCGGTGATCGTCATCAATCTCTCCATAGAGTCAATTTGTTTTCCAACTAAATGTATCTGTAGTTCAGGCCTCACCAACCCTTTCATCTGGAGAGCCATAGCGCGTTCATCCATACCTAATCTCAATCTTCTAAATAAGGCCAATTTTTGCGCAAGGAAAAGCACCACATCCTCTTTCCCCTGGGTCTTGCAGAACAAGTCTCGCTGTAGTCTAATCTGTAGTGATTCATTATCAAATCGATGTAGAAAGTATCTAGCAAATTCCAAGTAAGTCCAGTCGAACCCTCGATAAGGCCCATACCATTTATTTGCTTCTCCACGAAGTCTACTAGCTGCGTATCTTGCCCACTCTCTATAGTCTAATCTGTTCTATCCTGACCAGAAACTCTTTTGGATCTTCGAAATCTGCACCCTCAAATGTTGGATCAAATTCTCGGAGACCAATTCTATTTCTCTCTTCTCGAACGGGATTTGTTAACTCTTTCACAATCTTCCACATAGCCTCTCCAAATATATCTACTATCTTCTGTACCTCGTTTTTTTCCATTTCCTTCCGTCGGGCGCCACTGGGTTGTACTTAGCCTGTAACCCAGAACAGGCGTTGCATCAGCTCCTGCTGACGGTTGATCCATTATATTCGATATACTATTCTTCTTTCCTCCCCTACTCTCAGTCGGCGGAGCAATGAGACTCGCAATATCAGGCGCGGGTGTTCGAGCCACGAGTTGGGCGCCATGTAACAGTGCGCGTGCGCCGGATTGCTCGCCGCTCGGTGCGCCTGCGCCCGACGCACCGCCGGTCCGTCAGGTACTCTCGACCGGGTGTTCGGTATCGTAATCTCTATAGGAATCTGGTCAATTAAGTTGTTATTTGAACGCATTCCTCCCAAGTCTCGGTATAGTAGCGTTGTACCCTCGGCCTCGACCTCCGCGGGTAGAGTAAACGCCCCTTCTAGAGACTCGGTGGAAGTCAACGATTCTCGCAACTGCTCCTCGTCCAAATCATGGTCGGGTCGGGGCGCGCATGCGCCTAATTTATCTCTTGAGGTCATGATCAAGTTTATACATACAGTAAAATAAATATATACAAAGTAGAACAGTTTACTTTCTAGCACCTTATACTAGTTTTTCCACCAATGACTCAAATTTACTTAATGAGGTGAAAAGGTCAATGACTTGTACTGTTACTGATATTTACTAGTCTAAAGTTTGGAAAAAGTTCACTTTAATTCACTATCTGTGATGTTCGTCTTTACCACTACAGTTCAGAATCTCTAAAGTCACTTTATTACGATAAAAGTTCAAATAGTCTTTACTTATACCAGTCCCGTTCAAATGTTCAGTTAGAAAGTTCTCACTTACCCTAATAGCTTTAGGTCGGCCCGGCGTCTGAGCTGCGTCCGATTCTGCAACCACCTCACTCAGTTTTAATACAAATTTAGGTTTCTTATTATTATTGAATTTTACAAGGACCAAATGTTCTACTAGAACCTGTCCTTTAATTTATTACTGTTATTTAAACAAGGAACAAGCACTACTAGTTACAAATAAGTCTCTTTATTTTCAGATTTCCACTGAAGGGAACGGCGCAGAAGGCACCGTGATTGCAACAAACAAAAAGAAAACGCTGGAACACGCTGAAACCATATATTACCAGGTAAGTCTTTAATACACGTTATTTCCCTTTTCAGGTTTAGATTTAAGGCACCTAGGTGAGTATTTAGTCTTTGTGTAGATACGTCGCGAACCACGACACTACTTTGTCGACACTTAAAAACCCGTAGTTTGCACACTTTGGTTCTACAGCCAAAATTAAAGTTTTCATTTACTCTAATACACGCTGCGTAGACTATACGAGCGTTTCCCAACACTCTAATGACGACTATTACCGTTATACCTACGGCAATAGTTAATACTTTACTATTTTCCACGCTGACGGGACCCCCAGGGTACCAGGCGTTCTCCTAACAACTGTAGACAACTCTACAACAAAATACAATTGCAAATTTCAAACGACGTGACGTTCTGAAGGCACCTGACAATTGCTCTAGATCCAAAATCGGCCTGTGCTTTTATATGGTTAGGCGGACGGGAAGCTTCACCCCAAAACCCTGTTTCGACCAATCCCGGGTCTGAATTTTCTCCTCGTTGAACAAAACTATTTCGGCCTATTTTCAGTACGCATTTCGCGTAACGTCGTCGCGCTCGCGATAATGAATTTAAATTTTAATTTTAATCCGCGGATCACGGCACACGCGACCGTGACAAGCATTACTTAATATACTATTATTAGATATATCTCAAAAATTATTTATAATTTGTTCAACATTTAAAGTAATTTGATTTGCTTTTATCCACCCAGCTACAATATCTAATACATTATGATAGTAATGACAAAAGTCTAAATAATCTAACATATTTATTCTATGCGACAGCACACAAGTATCGAGTTTTAACAGTTCTTCCACATCGTGAAAGAAAAGATCGATGCACATGTATTTTATGATCTGCGGAAGTGACGTCACATGACCAGTTGGCGGTAAATTTAAAATTTAAAGCAGCATTGCGTCATTCCTATCCGGTATTGCATCATTCAAGGTCAATGACCTCCAAACAGTAACCTGATATATTATTTTCTTTATAATTGCAGTGTTAGCAAAAATTCTAACCTAATATGCAGGCTTGCTGGTAAACTTAGGATGAGCCACTTTAGCTCAGCGGTAGAGCACTGGTCTTGTATAGTTTTTCTTATACATGAAAGGTAGAGGGAGAGAGGAAATAAAACAAACAAGGACAAGTAAACATATATATTAAGCATATTAAAATATAATAAATGTAATATTATAACGT